CTCCTTCTGTGCTCTGGCAAATGCACACAAAAGAGTCAGTTCTTTCTTTTAGTAAAGCACAAAGCAGAACAGTCAGGAGCAGGGTCCTGTTGTGGTTGGTGTGGCATAAACAGGAAGAAAAAAGTCCTCAGACCTTAAGATAAAGGTCAAACACTGAAGAGGTAAGACATAGTTGAGGGAAAAAATGTTTTCTGGGCTGATTTTAGAGGTTGCTAAGCCTTGATAGTATGTCTTGGCAAGTCCCTTACCCCATTTATTTTTCAACACTAAATTTGCCTTTTCACTTTTCTACTAAAAAAATTTCTTCTATCCCAAAGATTTCCCCTCCAACTCCAAAAGAATAACTCGATCAGCCAGTCACAAACGCTTGAGATTTCCAGTAGCTAAAATCAGCCTGGATTTCAACACCTTGATAGACCTTCAATACCTTGATGATCAGATTTCTGTTTCCTTCACCAGCTTTGTGAATGGGATGAGGTGCAAATGGGGAAATCTGAGGGAAAGTAGCAATGGACAAGAAATAAAGGCATCAGCAGTGTGGTGTCACTGCTGTGTGGAGTAGGGCCACTGTCTTCAGGGAGGATTCACACGCTGTTCTTGTGATGTGCTGCTGCTCCTATTCTTTCTTAGTTGTCTTCCTACCATGAAGAAGCATCCTGATTTCCTGGTCCTGGTATCCTGATGGTTCTGGTGACAGTGAAGGCAGCCCTTTGTCCCTCCTTGTGCCGTGACTTCAGGGGATGGAACGTGTTTCAGATGTGCTCTTCCCCAGGTTAAACCTCTTGACCATTATCAGAGCAACTGGAAGTGTTTTGTGTTTTTATGTAAGGCAGTTTTTAGGCAGCATTTGTTTACTTATTTTCAATGCATAACACACAGGGACGTTTAGTGGAGATTTGATTGGTGTCTTATCCAAATTTGTTGTGTCTAGACTGGGTAATAATGTATTTTAATTGTTCTAAGCAAAAATTGCCCTGTCCATCAGGGTATTTACGTGGCAGTGGCAGTGCTAGTAATATAAATTAGCAACATCATGGTTCTACTGTGTGATGTGTAAAAGAATTTGGAATTCTTATTCACATGCGGTGTGAATTAATGAAGCATGGAAGTAAGTATGGATCAGTGGTTCACTTGCTGTTAATAAAAAATATGTTGAATGATGACTACATTTTTATTTGTAACTAGATTCCCGAAGGACTGTTAGTGTTCACCTGGATGACAAAAAGGAGACTGCAGGGAAAAAAGCCCCAAAACCAGCAATATAGGCCTTAATTGAGTAATCAGCAATTTACTATCCAGTAAGATTGAACAGTATGCAAATGATAATTCTTTCTGACTTCTCTAAATTCTTTTTTTAATTCAGCATCTGATAGTAACTAGCTGGATCAAATTTGTATGCATTTAAGAATCGTAGGATGGTAATAAAAACTGAGACTGGATTCTCGAATCTCAGATATTCATGATGCTCAACGCATTAAAATCTTGCCGTGTCTTGCCCTGGTGTGGCCAAGAATGTCAACAATATTCTGTATGAAGTTTCACTGAGTTGTTCCGATAGGAATTCGTCAATTCCTAAAACCTGATTATAGGGTGGCTTTTACCTTTTTTCTTGCTCTTCTTTGAAATCTGTTACTAATATAGACAAATGCATAATTCCAGGTACTAAAGTTTCTTAACTATTTGGTGCATTTAATCTTGAAGAGAATAAGTTGCCTCTTGGGGGAATTCCCTTTTGAACTAATCTAATTCTAGCATCTTTGCTGGCAGGTAAGCAGGTGCTGGGAGATGGCTGTCTTGATAGAACTGCTCATGCCAAGAAATCAGGCTTCTGATGTATGGCAGCAGTACAGACAGCTGATTTATGTGTGCTTTTTTAAAATACATATTATTGGACTTTCTGTAGCTAATCAAGAGTGACTGTAATCCATCTCACCTTCCTCCTGCCTGCGAAGAATTTCAGACCTTGCTAATGCATGCAGTGCCATTTATTTCGGTTGGCAGTGTGACCAACGCTGTGGCTTAGCCAAGTGTTCAGATAGAAACATACACCTCTGTGTACAGAAGACTGTAGTACTTCAGTTCATTGCTAGTTCCCGTCATTAACATTTTTCCTGTACCTCAGTTCTCAGAAATGGCACGGTGCAGTTTACTGGTTAATATAAGAAATGAAAGGAAAACCATAGCACTGTGCAGATTCTTCTGCTCACTGGCCAAGCCAACAAGTATGATCTTTCACACTGCGAGAACTACGTAGGCTTCAGCTTCGTGCTGTCAGCCAAATTTGTCGTGTTCAGAGTTCTGTCTTCTAGGCTTCATGCAGTTCACTTAATTATTCCCAAATGTCTTTCATCTCTTGGACTGTGCAGGTTATAATCTCTGTATTTTGCCTAAGTAAGCAGGCAGTTCTGCTCCCTCTTTAAATAGGTTTTCTGAACGCTTCTGTTCAATAGCACACAGCCAAGCTCTGGATCAGGTAATGACAGTAGTAAGGATAGAAGAGCATTAGAGATGTGGAGTAGAGCTGTGGGGCACTGGAGTGGTGGGAGATTCAAGAAGAGTTTGGTTGGTTTGGTTAAAGGGTCGGACAGGTGAGACACTTCTCTTTACCAAAAGGAGCAATTCATTATCCTTTAGAGAAACTGTTGGGCTTTTTGTTTCATTTCTGCCTTTGCACTGGAAGTCTTAGGGGCTTTTACATGTGTGTTCACATATTAATTTAAACTAAATATTGTTCTTGTCGCTTTAATAGATGAGACTGAAATGGAATCAAGTGGGGTTAAAATGCAATTGAGACATTGGATTAGTCAGAAGTTACACCAGTGAACTTTGTTTTGTTATGGAAAGTGCTGTAATTGCTGCTTTGCATATAACATGCTGTCATTTAAGTTAAACTTGCAGAGAGAACCTTTGTTTTATTTTGTCGAAGGACAGCTTTATTTAGCTGCTTTGGGAACACTGAGAAGCAGGAGAACCTGGGCTGGAGGTCTCAGCTCTCATCCTTGACTTTAACTGCCAAAAAGCACCCTGCATCAACTCCTGATGCCTGCCTGCAGGACAGGGCAGTAAATGTGTTGGTCCTTGACATTTCTTAGGTATTATGGATAGTTTCTAGCTGCCTGTGGCACTCTTTAAAAACCATCCAGGGTGAGTGTTTGTTCATTAATGCAGTAAAGCAGTTCCAACACCACTTACACTCCTTGCTTCCCTTGCTGAACAGGCTGCAGTGCAATGTCTGTCCTCCCAGTGCAGTGCTATATGGCCCAAGTGGAGCATTGGGACTGGAGCATTGCAACTCAGCTGCAATGGGAGCAATTATAAGATACGAATTGCAGCATCAACCTACTGAGACCTTGCATTTTGTTGTGGAAAATGAGATTTTGCAGATAGCTGGCTTTATTTCCAGTGGCATGGTTCCATCTGCAGAACAATTCTGTCAGAGGGATGCTCCTTAGTAGGTGTTGAGACCTCCAGTTCAGTAGACACAGCTGGTCTCTGTGAGCACTCTCCTACCTGCCAACAACAGTGAAGTAGAATTTGAAGGTGATTCTGCTTTGGCTCTTGGAGCCTCTTTTTGTAAAGCTAAGAATCTGAATAGTTATTTGGTTAAAATTTTTACACCTTTCACATTAGGTTAGTTGTGTAGCTAAAATCCACTGGCCTTTCCTGCAGCAGTTGATGTCTCCTGCCCTCTTAAGTGGTGCATGCTTAGGAAACCAGACTTTTTGTATGAAACAGTTTCTTTAAGGTTTTGAAGTGTACTATAATTTGAAAGAAGCCATGAGCCTGGATATAGATGCTAGGAAAGGTGATCTTCCTGTATTTTTGTCAGTCCTTTTCATGTATTACAGCTCTAAATACAAAGCTAAAATCTCTAAAACTTACAGGGGGGGGAAAAAAATGACTTTCAAGGAGGAACATTTCCTTTTTCAAATCTGATAGTTTGACTTCTTCAGCAAATCCTTACTCCTTACCAGGCCCTTGTTTTTATTTTAAATTTTCAGTGATGGCTTTTAGGTGAAATGTGCAACATGAAAATTTCAGGCATCCATTCTGTATTTGGAAGAAAATTCCTAGCTCACACATTGTTCAGGAATTTCTGCTTATCTCTGTAATCAATCAACAAAGTCAGATTTTAAACACAGTGGTAATTTGAATGAATTACTTTTTAAATGGCGTGAAATATAGCTCCCTAATTAATGTTCTGACAAGACAGAAGCATTCTCTGGCTTTGGAAAAAGATGTTTATATATAAATTCCTTCTCTTTTTTTTCTTTCTTTTTATTTTTTTCCTGAGCAAGATAATACAGCTATTTAAGATTATCCCAAGTGTTAAAAACAAACAGCTGGGTGGGATGTAATTTGGCCTGTGTGAATAGTTTTCCAGAAGTACCTGCCTATGTTCCTGTATCAAAGCTGAGAAACATGGGCTCCCAAGGAGAGTTCAGTAGAACTGTGGTGTTCTTTGGAATTAAATATGAAGGTGTTTTGTTGTTTGTTTTTTTTTTTTTCCTTTTTAATTTATAGACATGCTTCAACATTTTTTAAAGCCGTCAAGCTTTAATTTCTTTTCACTTATGGATTTAATAATTTTGTGTTTTAGTCTATAAATATATGCTTTTATGTGTCTGATGTTAAGCTAAGTTGGTTAGCAACATATCAAAACAATTCCATCTTTCTTATTAATCCCATAGGCAGCTTTTGCAAATGTTTCTATGCTGTTAATGATTGCAGTGAGGCATTAAAGCACATTTAGAGAACAGAATTCCTTCCATGTCTCCCTCATGCCCTTCAAGTGTGGTACTGCGTGTGGTTGGTTTGGGGCGCTATTACAGCTGTTTAGTACCGGTCCCCAGTGAAGCTTTTTACACGGTCTTCCTTTGCCAGTAAGAAATTGGGTTTCCTGTCTTGTGTTCTGTGCAACCCATGTTTTTCTGTCTGTTAAAACTGGCTTTTGGAGCGTTACAAGAAAACTGTAAAACCACTGTAATGTTTTCTTTCAGGAATTACAGCGGAAGTCCTAGTGGTAGCCTCTTTTGATGAACTGCACAGAAGAGCTCAAGAGGCCAAGGGGAAGATCGTTGTCTACAACCAACCTTTCATCAGTTATGGTGAAACTGTGTGGTACAGATCACTGGGAGCAGTGGAAGCTGCTAAGGTTGGAGCAGTGGCATCCCTCATTAGATCCATTGCTTCTTTTTCTATTGATAGGTAAGCATTTTTTTCTTTTCTCCTCGCGTCTCACATTTCAGCCTTTACTTCACATGTCATTTTTGGGTGGGCATTTTTGGTTTTTCCCAACTTAAACGTTGCCAGTTATGAGTGGGTGTTCGGTTTTGAAACTATTGGCTGCATGATAGCTCTTTTCCCTTGTGCTTTGTCATTCTTTCAAAATGTTTTCATTTTTTGTTACTGATCCAAATTGTGATTTTTTTTTTATTTTTTTTTTATTTTTAAAGAACTTCCTGTATTCTCAAGGCTAGTATGAATATTCTGAAGTAACCAAAATCACGTCTGTGGTGACAGCATGTATCAGACTATGTGTGATAACTCTCTGTATTTGACTGGACTGTACGTCCATAGTTTTTACTGTATTGGTAACTTCCTAAGCACTAGGCTGGCTTGTACTAGATGAAACAGTAGTCTGCTTCAAACACCATTAATTCAGAGCACTTAGAAATAAGATTGGTATTTCTCACTCTGTTCTTTAAATAAGATAGGCTGAGACCATGTTTTCTTGTATGTTAGATGTCTTAGTACATTGGCTACTTACCATATATAGTTGGTAAAAGAATTTTTTTTTTTTAATCTGTCTATTTAATATGTCATCTGGGCTAGATGACATTTAAGGGTCCCTTCCAACTCAAACAAGTCTATGACTCTGTGGACTTTATGAAAGTAAGTGGTGCTGCATTTTGTAATACTATTCTGTTTGGCTTTTGCGTGTTCCAAGTAGTGCATGTTATTTCTTGCTACCCCCAGTTCCCCGTTAGGTCTTTACCCGAAGAGTCATCGTTGTCTGTGACTAACCTGACCCTGAGTGTGTGCCACACTGGAGACATGTCCTGTTAGGGTAATGGCATGGTTTCTTTTTAATCTGTGGTCCTTGGTTTTGTTGCTATAGAAGTGAAGGCTAGGAAGCAGGAAGAAGTAATATAGCATTGAGTCTTTCTTGTGGCTGACAATGGGAAGTGGCTGGGGCTGGCATTTGGAAGCACTCTTGAGTCCACTATTGGGGTCAGAATCTAAGTGGTCACATCTGAGCAGTGTTAGAATTCTGCAAACCTCATCATTTGTGATGCTTCAAAAAGTGTGAGAAGTGAAGTAATGTCGACTAACTGACTTGGATCATGTGCTATGCTGTTGGTGTTGTGCTTGATAACGTTTTTATGTGTTTCATATGTTCCCCTAAAGAAGCTGACATTATGTGCTTAAATTGCTTTCTTGAAAATAAAGTATTTTGAATTCAGATACTGTCCAAACCATAGCAGTGCTCCACAAATGTATCACTTTATAATACATTTTCTAGTACAGATAATATTCTAGTAAATTTAACACTGTTGAACAGAAAGTGGAATATGTTTCAAAAATAGTTTTATGGGGGGGAAAAAAAGGTATATTTTGCAAATAGCCTTATTTGTGATCATTAGAGAACATTGTAATCTATGACCTGTTGATTGTCTGAAAACCAGAAGATGATCTGAGCGCTGATCTTTCCACTCCTTATTTCTGGCACCCTGCAGAGGCATTCATTTGAAAGCTGCTCTTTGCATCTTCTGTTTTCCAACCTGTTTCTGGAAGTGTTTTTTACATGTAATGGAAATTATAGAGATGTGGATCAGATGTAGAGGCTCAAGGTAGTAAGGCCTGTTTATGAGATCTGAATACTGTGTTACAGTTATAGAATCACAGAATCACAGAATTGTAGGGGTTGGAAGGGACCTCCAGAGATCATCGAGTCCAACCCCCCTGCCAAAGCAGGTTCCCTACAGCAGGTCGCACAGGTAGGCATCCAGGCAGGTCTTGAACATCTCCACAGAAGGAGACTCCACCACCTCCCTGGGCAGCCTGTTCCAGTGCTCCGTCACCTCACTGTAAAGAAGTTCTTGCACAATTTGTGCAGAACTTCCTATGCTGCAGTTTCCAGCCGTTTCCCCTTGTCCTGTCTCCACTCACCACTGAAAACAGTCTGGCCTCGCCATTCTGCCCCCCACACCTTAGATATTTATAGACCTGGATCAGGTCCCCTCTCAGTCTCCTTTTCTCAAGGCTGAACAGACCCAGTTCACTCAGCCTTTCCTCGTAGGAGAGATGCTCCAGGCCCTTCACCATCTTCGTGGCCCTCCGCTGGACTCTTTCCAAGAGATCCTTGTCTTTTTTGTACTGGGGAGCCCAGAACTGGACACAGTACTCCAGATGAGGTCTTACCAGGGCAGAGTAGAGGGGGAGGATCACCTCCTTCGACCTGCTGGACACGCTCTTTTTAATGCACCCCAGTAAGCCATTGGCCTTTTTGGCCACAAGGGCACACTGCTGGCTCATGGCCAACCTGTCATCCACCAGGACACCCAGGTCCTTCTCCGCAGAGCTCCCCTCCAATATATCAGTATCAATATCCAATTATATCAGAATTCAATGAAAAGAGAGGAAACACAGCTGCCAAATGCATGTTTGTTTAGAAGCATTGAATCCTTAATCTATGCTGTGAGCTGAGGTGTCAAAAGCAATTTCAAATTTAGATGCTGCCAAGAAGCACTTTTTTCATGGAATGTACTTTCTGTCCTTCCACACTTACCTTCACTTAGGAGTTTCTTTTAGGGAAGGAGGAGGAATTGGTTAATCTATTTTTCCCTGCAATAAGAGAAGTATTCAGGCTCAGTCACTTCTGCCCCTCTGTGGTGCACAGATCTGTGTAGTGTTTCTGTCAGGAAACAAGCATTGCTGCAGACAGAATGGATTCTCCTGTATCTGTGCCTCCTGCTGTGTTTTCTTCTGTTCCCTGTTTGTGTCCCCTTGTCAGTCTATAGCTGTGCTGTGCTGTGCTGGGCATTCTGCTGTGATGCAGTGCCTCTCTTCAGCCAGCATCTGGGGCTCCTCTTGCCTAAGCTGCTTCTTAATGTGATTAATAGCAAATGCTGCATTGCTGGAGGGAACAAGTTAGCAAGTTAGAAGGGTGAGAGATGAAAGGTAAAGTGCTGATGAAAAGGCTTCTTAGTATTGTGAAAGAAACTCCTGCATTCTTCCAGTTTGTACACTACTACTTTGTTGACCAGAACCTTCACTTTGGAGAGCCCCCAGTCCACCTATGCACCTATATATGAGTAAGTGATAGCGGTATTAGGGCAGTTTTCCAAAGCAAACATATTAGAAGAAAGTATCCCCCTAATACTTGCTGTCCCACTTTCCTCAGGTCACCGAAGGGCAGAAGTTCACTTTTTTCCCTCAGTTATATCAGTGTGTTTTTTAGTGTGTGGGGTTTTTTGTTTGTTTGTTTGTTTTTAAGATTGCGACTTATATTGAACAGGGCCTGTTGCTACTCTGTTTGCAATAGATTAAGCTGGCTAAAACAATGAAAACCTCTTCACGGTGTGATTTCTAGGTGATCTTGCAATGTGAACAATATTGGTAGGTTAAAAAGAAGTGCAATCTAGTAAATCAGCGTCTTAGGCTTATTGAGGCAGGTTATTAAAGTTTACTGACAGGATGGAATTGGTAAGATCCCAGAGTGAATGAAATCAGTGTTCTCTTACTGGCAGCCTGCTGACTGTTCCTTGGTCCAGAATTGGCAAGCAGCTACCATGCCGTCAAGGGCAAAAACTGTGGATCCTGAAGGGAACCTTTGAGCAGAGGTAGTGTGGGCAGCATATTTTTCATTAAGGTATGGTACTAGAGCTGTAGAGAGCATAAAACTGCTTAGGGTCTCAGGCACCCCAAGCCTGAACGAGAGCAAGAAGGAATGAACTCAAACATTGCTTTATTGTTTATTAGAGCTAGTGCCAACTCATCAGTGATAGTGAAGAGCTTTGTTTTGTTGAGTTTCAAGGGCAGAGTTTGTTTAGGGTTAGGACAAAATGGTAATTGACTTAAAAATAAAATTGCCTACGTGGTCTCTCTTGGCTTGTTCGAAGATGGCAGTACTTCCATGGCGTTTGTTACCATGTAGTCCAGCTCTTCTGTCATGTTAGGAGAGATCTTGAAATTGTCAGTGTTTTTTGTCAATGTTTTGTGTCAGAGTCAAATGATTCTACTGCTACTTCATAGGTGCCACCTTTCCAGTGAGTTTTGATACTCAAGAGAAAGTCACGGTAACAAGTAATAATTTGCCTTGTCCTCCTTGCAAATGTTATGACTACCTGTCTCCCAGTAACAAATTCCAAGGTGTTGGCAATTTGGTGGTGAAGATGCTGAAAATCTGTATATTAGGAATCAAGAGTAATAGAACTACTCTCAAGGAACCTTCTGAAATAACGTGTATTATTGTAACTAATCAACAGTATCCATAGTATTTGTTTTTTTGCAGAAGCCAGGATGTTGACTTTTTTTTGCTTTAGTAGCTTGACTATACTGTGATTAATGGTCTTGTACAAATTGAAACACGTTGTAGGTGTATTTGCTGTTGTGTGCAATGAACTGATGAGTGTTTCTCAGTTTGTGGTGGATATTATGGCAAAAATACTCAGTTTACAAAGCAGAGTTAGAAAATGTGGTTGTGATAAGGTAGCCACAAGTCTACTCTTTTACTTCCTAGCTGTAAGTTTTTAGAACGCACTATAGGCAGGCCAGAGATATCCATTCACTGTTAAAATGGTCCATTGCATTTGTCTTATGTGAATATGCTCTTATCAATGTGAGACTGTGAGGACATCTTTCTATTCCTTGAGAACCAACACTGCATCTTTCTCTTCTTTTTATCCCTTTTTTTTTTTTTTTTTAATTTTTTTTTACCCCCAGTTTGTTTATCTGCTTTTCCCACATAAGGTAACAGATACCATTGGTGTATATACATTGTACCCTCAAAAATGTATCTGGCATTTTCTTTTCCTTTCCTGCCTTTCTTTTTGTTCTTCACTGCTTTGTAAACAATTCATTCCTTTCTTGATCGCTCTGGCAACGTGAGTGTCATTTCTTGGCTCTCATGTGCTGGCACAGTGACTTTTAACACATCACCTCTTCCTAATGCTAATACTTGGTCTGCTGCCCTTGGTTCCAGA